AAAGGTTTCTTGAGCAGAATAAAATTGATTTCAGAATTATTTCTGAAGGATCTGTAGTAATTATGCTGAAAATTCAGCTTTTTGCCATCACAGAAATAAATTACATTGTAAAATATATTCAAATAGTAAACAGTCGTTTTAAATTGTAACAATATGTCACAATATCACTGTATTATAGTATTTTTGATCAAATAAATGCAGCCTTGTTGAACAGAAGAGACTTCTTTCAAAAATATTAAAAATTCTTATCAAACCCAAGTTTTTGTATAGTACATTTTACCTATTAAATGAAAGATCTTAAGTTGTTTATTATTGTGTTGTTGTTGTTTTTTACTGCTTATTTAATTCAAATATTTCCTTTGCTGGAAAGAACCTTTACCTTTATATGATGTAAAATTAGATGTAAACATTGGATGTAAAAAAAAAAAGTTGAATAATCTGATTTTGTTTCTGATTCTAGCTATGTTGAAACATTATGTAGTTAATTATGAAATGATAGTGTTCTAACAGTTAGTGACTAACTGCCTGCTATACAGTGTTCCAGTAATATTACGAGGGTGTTAGCTCTTGATCCTATTAAGTATTACATCCTGTAAACCCTGTGCTTGACAACTTGTTTGTCAGAATGTTAATGGTCACATAAACGTGTATCTTGTTTCTACAGCACAACGCACCTAATCTGGCTTTGTGCTATGCGTAATTTTATCTGAGTTTGTGGACTAAAAACTAGACTAAAAGCTACGTGGCTCCAGCCGCTGCCTCTGCCAGAGGTTCCTCCCATCTCTGCTTCAGAAACGCACGGTTTATCGGTTAGTAGAAGTGTGGTGTGCGTGACCACCGTTGTGTTTTGCATAGAGCGATTTGCGTAGAGCTTATCATCATTGCTCGGACCCCCACTTATCAGTAAGCGACAGCCTGTTGAAGGAATAGTTCACCCAAAAATGAAAAACATTTCATTTACTTATAGTATCCACATATCATTCCAGTCTTGTATTATTTTATAAAGGCTGATCCTGGGCAAATTTTTTTACAGTTGAGCTAAAAAAAAAACCACACAAATGCAAAAGCACTAACACTACTTTTCCATTACTTTTTGTCACCTGAGCTGGGTGTACTTATTTATTTTTGATAACAAAAAACCTAAAAGTTATATTTTTGGCAACTGTAAAGATCCTTTCACACCAAAAGGGAAATTGATAAGCCTCGAAGTGCCTTTGCCTTGCACCTCACTCCCAATTTCTCTCAACACGGGGGCAGGAGAGGCATCAGTGAATAAATGGGAAAACAAAGTAACTTGCGTTACTTATTTGAAAAAGTAACTCCGATATTTTATTGTAAATTTAAAAGTAATGCATTACTTTGCTAGTTACTTGGAAAAGTAATCTGATTACTTGTATATCTCACATTACTTGTAATGCGTTACCCCAATGCTGATGTCACTATTCCTCTTTCCCTCTGGCAAAGCCTATTAATGATATCTCATTTGTGAACAAATAATAGTTACACTGCAAAAAATAAAAATACTTTTGAGCAAAAAAAAATGTATATAGTAACACTGCAAAAATACATTGTTTTGTCTTGTTTTTCAGTAAATAATATAAAAAAATCCTTCAAACAAGATAAATGTACTTGAAGCAAAATATTTTATTTTTGAAGCAAAATTTATTTTTAATATTTTGTATATTAAAATCTGACGTTTATTTATTAAAAAAATTTATTATTTACTGAACTATATCCAAAAAAACACTTATCCAGAAAAAAAAAAAAACATTTAAATAGTGAAAAGTTTTTCAAGTTCAACTCACTGACTAATATTCTGTGTCATATTCTCGTCCCATTATTTTGTGTTCAGTGGAAGAAATGAAGTCATGAGGGTGAGTAAACAATGACAGTATTCAAATTTTTGAGTGAATTATTTTTTTAAGCTTACATGAGCAGTGGAAGTAGCCGAGCCAGCTCTGTTTCCCCCTCACGCCGTGTGTGTGTGAGAGCTACACAAGGCAGGACACAATGCGGAAGAATCACTGTGACCGCCGGAGTGGGGTCACCTCAGCGAGCAGCAGGCAGTTGGCACCGACTCAAGAGCTCCTTCCTTTTGCCTCATGGAGGCCCTGTGCGCACATACACACACACATACATTTACTTCACTTAAACATAGGCAACGACTGCCCCACTAACGGTCTCTCCTGCCTGCTTTTTCCTTCATCCTGTTGTACAGGATATTTGTAATATAGTAGCGTTGCTAATTTGCTGTTATTGTAGTTCGAGACAGAACAGAAATTATATTGCAGGAAAAAAGAAAGAATTGTTGTTTTTCCTCCTGCATGGTGAACACTGAATGGACTACAATGATTTGTAGACATGCAGAACCAAGTGTTGAGGCTTTAAGTGGCTGTTTTATTACTAGTGCTAATGCATACGGTTAGTGGTTTTAGCAAACGCTGAACTCTGAGAGTTAAACTTCGGCATGTAAGGCATCCTGCCTCAAATTGTGAAGCTTGTTGAGGAGATATTGTTTTTTTTATAAGTGATCAGATTTGTGATTTTGTCTGTTGAGCAATAAAACATCAGTGTTTTTCATCAGTGTTTAAAAGTGTTTTCCAGTAAAAATATCTAAACATCCTTTAAACAAGATACATTTACTTGAGAAGCACTTTTGTTCACTATTAATATTTGTAATAATATATTATATATTTTTTATTAAAATAAAACATTACTTGTGTGTGTGTGCGTGCGTGTAAATATTGTAATATTAAAATATATTATGAATTATAATATGAATTTATTTAACGCAAGTTTTAGTGAGGTTTATGCAAAAAACAAATTGTCTGTTGGGAAATAAAACATCCCAAAAATTAGTTACAGTGCAGAAAATGTAGTGTTTTGTCTTGTTTACCAGTAAAAAAAAAAAACTAAAACTCCTTCAAACTAGAGAAATTTACTTGTGAGACTAAATATTTAATTATTCTTTCATTTATTGATTGTTTAATTAAACACAATTTTGTGAGATTTATGCAAACAAACAGTGGGGTAAAAAAATGTATTATTTAAATTAAATTTAAAATGTGTCTGTAAATTGTAAATGTGTCTAGAATTATTATAAAAAATAATAAAATACTGATTATAAAAAAGCTTGCAATATTACCTTCAATTGAAAAATTGAGTACAGTTTTAGGCTGTTTTCGGCCAAGAAGTAACCACCTAGCACCCATCCAGAACAGCCTAGCAACTACATAGAAATGTGTGAAAAACCACCCAGAACACCTTAACAATGGCAAAAGAAACATCCGACAACACTCTTGCATTGTGACAGCGACTTTTGTACCGGCAAGTAGAGCTCACATTTTCTTCAGAATATGTAAAAAATCTGGTTTATTTTATTATGCAAGTGTGTAATTGAGTTTTTTAAGCAGTGAAGTGTTGAGTTCACAGGAAGCTCAGAAGTGCTGCAGCTCTTTTGAAACATAATGAAAGGCTACAGTGAGGTGCACTGAATGTCTAAAAGAGACTGCTGGGCTGTCAGCCTCTGTGAAATGCATTCTACCCACGTACTCAGGCTATTCTATTTCCTGTCTCATTTAGGAAAGAGCACTGGTTCCTTCACATTTGTGTGTTGGGCTGCTGTACTAGATTTGCATTTAAGAAACTGTCTGCCAAAGTCTAAATTTTCAGACATCATGCACCATTGATGTATTTCCAATTGAAATAGGACATTTTTGGCCTGTCCATTTTTAAATATAATTTTTGAATTTTGAAATGTCATACTATACCATATCTGCAATACTTATTCTGTTCACAGAATGGAATTTTTTTTTTTTGCATGCATGCATGAAATACCTAAAATAATACTGTATATACTGCATGCACCTTCAATTCTCAGGTTGACAAATGAACCGGATTAATCATGTTTTTTGTTTTTTTTTGGCAAACAGTTAAGACATTGTACATTATAAAAGTATATATATATATATATATATATATATATATATATATGGCCGTTTTTTTTTTTTTTTTGAAGTCCTGAGCCCTCTAAA